TCACACGTAGTTATGATGATATTGGGTTATTTATTACGAAAATACCGATTGATGCGCTGATTATTAGATCTACGTTTTAAGTATTTCACACGTAGTTATGATGATATTGGGTTATTTATTACGAAAATACCGATTGATGCGCTGATTATTAGATCTACGTTTTAAGTATTTCACACGTAGTTATGATGATATTGGGTTATTTAATACATTTTTTTTTCATTTTTGGAATTGCTAATATATATACATACTATAATAATAAAAAGATAAGATCTGTTTAGGGTGTAATTCGAACAAACACAACTTCTGTTGTTAACAAGATGAGAATTCACAACATTAATGGTGTGGATTTATAAACAGAATGTTTGTTGTTGTTTTTTTTTGTTTGTTTGTTGTTAAGCGCAGAGCTACACAACAGGCTAATTTTTTTCGTGCACAAGGGGTTATCTGCACTCTGCCCACCGTGGTAATCGAAACCCGAATTTTAGTGTTATAAGCCATGAGACTTACCGCTGAGTTAGCTTGGAGCAAACAGAATGGAAAGTCAAATATGTTGCATGTGAAAATAAAATTTAAAAGACAACTCTACAGTTTCCTTAAGATATTCGTTTTTATTACTATAAAATTTTATAAACATATTTTTTTCAGAAGTCGGTAATCGTTAAAAATGTATACATTTATAATTAAGCGTACATTGCGAGTCAGCGGTAAATTTACGAAGTTACAACAATAAAATCCGATATTCAGTTTATCACAATGGACAGAATACAGATAATCCATTGTGTAGCACTCAGCAAGCAACAAAAGCTTACTTGTATAAAGTATGACTTATTAAAAATATTATCACTTAATATTTCATAATTCTCTTGTGGGTATGAAATCACTTTTTCTGATAAAGGGCCTGAATTCACATCGTCTTTTTTTAGAGTGTATATTGATCGTTGCTAAATAAAACGTTACTAGTATTCTAATCAAATAAATGATCATTTTTCTTATTCCTTTTTAGTGCATGGGTCGTCTCTTTCGCTTGTTTCAACGGCATCGTCATTGTATTTAACGGTAAGCGCAACAATGTGCTGTAAAACTTGTAATGTCATCCACGATTTTATACACAGCAGATTCATGTGTAGCTTTATAATTGAAATAAATAAAACGTAATAATGTATCGTCATTTTGTTTAACGGTAAGCGCAACAATGTTCTGTAAAACTTATTAAAAGTTCACTTCATTCAATACACTTGAATCTGCTATGTATAAAATCGTGGATGACATTACATGTGTAGCTTTATAATTGAAATAAATAAAACGTAATAATGTATCGTCATTTTGTTTAACGGTAAGCGCAACAATGTTCTGTAAAACTTATTAAAAGTTCACTTCATTCAATACACTTGAATCTGCTGTGTATAAAATCGTGGATAACATTACTCTATAGCTTTATAATTGAAATAAATAAAACCTGTAATAATCTAAACGTTATATTGTTCTATAGTGAAAATGAAATAAAGTGGTAAATTTTTAGCTAAAAAAAAAAGAGATAAACATAAAAGTACCGTAGTCTTTTTCTGCTTACTTAGTTTGTGAGAAGGTGAAAAGGAAAGTTAGTTCAATATACACACTTTTGCAAAGTTTGTTTGTCAAAAGTGTAAAATCTGTTTTAAAATGGCTTTCAAAATAACTTGTATTTCCTCGCTAAAAGTAGGTAAGCACAAGTTCAGTAGCGAACGCTGAACTGAGCGTTTGCAACGCGAGCACCTAGCAACCATGGCCAGTGGATTCTTACTTTTATCTTTCGCAAATTTTACTAATTCTAACTCTAGCGGTGAATGAGAGAGCATAGATTAATTTTTTTTTTAAAATACCCTCTCGTTCCAAGATCTCATTTTGCATAGCTCAGCTCAGAACGAGAGAGTGGTCTGGTGTCACAGCTGCCTCCCAATGAAAGTAATGCCAAGTTACTTTATTTTGCTGTGTTTATGAAATATCACCTACTGTTTGAGCTAAAGCAGAATTTTGGCTTCTTTTTTTTCCGTTAAAGCAGCTATGGATTGATATCGTATCTCTCAACATAACGTGTTTGCAAACAGAATCTTACTTCAGAGTTAATGAAATCAATTAAACCGGTTTGCAGATGGCCAATAATACTCGATCCTCGCGTATCTCAGCATTAGTTTTGCGTAAAGACTTAACACATTTTGTGGTCTTCAGATTTAGTGACACTAAAACGTACAAGCAGAATGCATATCACTGTTTTTACTCTAAAATTAGCGGAAGTTTCGAACAAGAGTTCATTGATATTAAACTGTAACAAAATACAGTAGTTTATCGTAATGTCATACAAGGTGCATAAAAAAAAACGTACAACAACGGAAGTGTAGATTAATTTAAATTTTCTTCTTTCGTGGAACTATTCGATTTAGACTGACGAGAAACACGCCCACGAGATCAGAAAGTTGAGAAGAGAGTTGGAGCAAGCTAACGAAAAGGTCGCAACTTTAACTTCTCAACTGACAACCAATGTAAGTTTCAAAAGTTGTTTTTACTATTTATCATTTTTGTGTGAATATTTCTATAATTTATTTTTCGAAAACTTAAATCAAAATGAGATTTATTTCTGCACATCAGAAAAATTACTGCTCCAGTTCTACTAGTTAAGTACGCTGTTGTTTTGATAACTCATTTTGCTTGGCGCATATTATCATCAGCCCTGAAATTCACAAAAAAATGTATAATAAAATCCTTGTGCTCAACTTGTTTCATAGCCATATGATAACACTAGGCCTTCTTTTTGAAGTGGGCTAGGCGTGACCTAGTTCTTAGCATGTTGAACTGTGAGTCTCTAGGTATATGATTGTTCTCTCGTTGCAGTGAAATTACGCTTCGTTCTTTGGGATTGTTGGTGCGTTATAAGAGTGACGGTCAAATCCTACTATTCCGTTAGAGAAGCCAAAGTAAATAGCCCTTATGTGGAGCCTTTCGCAAACATCCGAAACAAATTATTTAGGTTCTTTAAACGTTTGTTTTGTTGTTAAAAACAAAGCTACATAATAGTCTGTCTGTGCGCTGCCCATCGCGGGTATCGAAACCCGATGTTTAGTGTTATAAGCTCTAAGACGTACCGCTAAGCCTTTTGAAATGTAAACTGACCTAACGGTATGTAAGAATTCAACACAGCTATTCCTTTCATAATTCTTTTTTATAATTTTGTCTTTGGTTTATAATACTCAGATAGTTAAAAGGAATCCAGAGAAAATGAGTTAAAAACCATTTAAAGCTACTGTGCTAAAAACTTTTAGGCATAGAAATTCATTACATTGAATAATATTTTATGAAACTGTAAAACATGTATTTAAATGTGTTTGAAAATGATCGAAAACAACATAAAATTAAGTAGTAAACCACTTCTTTGCTGTGCAATTTATCATAGAAATAACTGTAATATTTTAGAAAATTAATCATAGCTTAGTTGTGATAATTATTCGGTTTTACGTTTATTCCTTGTAGTGTTGTGTCGATGTTATTTTTTGTAGTATCTCAATATTCGTTTGGTAAACGACATAGGATGTTTCGTCACCAACTTTTATATCCAACTAACGAAGTTTTAAATTATTATAAACAACGGTTTTTATACTTAAATGTTTGTCAAGAATTAGTTTTTAAAGATGATTTTTTTTAATGCTTGTTAGAGTTGTCATTGCGTATATTTTATCTTGAACATTTGGTTGGTAATTCTCCCAAAAGATGGCGCAGCTGTTCCTCTTCCCATTTTGTAGTTTTGAACTTAAGAATATCTGTCAGTAATTTCTTTTAGTTAAGTTTATTTTTGATGAACGCATTTAATTTAATAATTATGCTGTATTATATTTATGAAAGCATAAAACGGGGGATATGTTCTGAAGTAATTAACTAGTACACACCAACTTCTCATTCATCATGGGTACTACATTAGTGGTAGTAAAATATATTATTAACAATTTCAATGTTATGTTTTGTGTATGTGTGTTCTATTGCGGGAGAGGGTTACATAAATGCTTAGAATACATTATTTGTAAATAACTAGATTTGTGTGAACCAAGTCTCAACACACAGTGACGTCAGGTTAACGACTTTCATATTAGTAAGAAAAATTGCTTGAAATATAAAAATTAAAACTCATATCAGTTGTTTGTACTCTTCTACCTTCTTGTTGTAAAAGAACGCCTTTTTTACATTATTAGTCTTGATAATATTATAAATTCGATTATTACCATATCTTATTAGCATACATTCTTATATCTTGATATGACGGGTTAGAGTTGGAGCCAGCAAACACTAGATTTTTTGCCTTAAATCTTTTTATTATTTTTACTTCAAGTGCATATAAAGACACACAAGTTTATTATGGTCGTTCATCATTAAAACGTGCGTTTATAATGGGCACGTGGTAGCAGTGGGGAACTCAACAAACCCTAATAGGCCTCCGTATATTTAATTACAATGTGTCTCGGTGCTCGCTTTAATTTTCTATGTTAATAAAACTTAACTAGAATCATCACACAAAAATACTAATGTTCTAGACTGAGTCGTAATAGTATTTTGTTTCTACCATCTTTAAACTTGATGTTAGTTCTGATATAAGTGTCAATATATCTCGAAATGAGAAGGACATACTTTAAAAAATTCCCAATCGTAATATGCTACATGATATAAAAATATTATATTTGACAATAATAATAATATGCTACGTGGTATAAAAATATTATATTTGACAATAATAATAATATGCTACGTGGTATAAAAAATATTATATTTGACAATAATAATATGCTACGTGGTATAAAAAAATATTATATTTGGCAATAATAATATGCTACGTGGTATATAAAAAATATTATATTTGGCAATAATAATATGCTACGTGGTATATAAAAAATATTATATTTGGCAATAATAATATGCTACGTGGTGTAAAAATATTATATTTGATAATAATATGCTACGTGGTGTAAAAATATTATATTTGACAATAATAATAATATATTAAAATTTAAACTCGTTATTAATGAGACGAAAGTGTGCCAATGAAACTAAGAAAGGTTGTGTGACGAACGCCTATCATGATCCATTCGCGATGCTTACAATTTTACTCGCAGGATAACAAATATTAGTAAATCACAAGCAAACGTATGGTGCGGACCTAGAAAGAAAAAAAAATTGAGTATAAGCGTATGGTGGTGGTAAGTTACGTGATTGATGTCCTTGATACTTTATAATTATTACATCTTAATAAAACGCAATAAAGGGTCGTGCAGTTGGCCACATTTTAGGGTCATACAGTTGTCGGCAACTTTATACTTCTTAATGAAACAGTAAGTGTGTGTGTGTGTGTGTGTGTATATATATAACTCTATACTTTTAATGAAACAGTAAGTGTGTGTGTGTGTGTGTGTGTATATATATAACTCTATACTTTTTAATGAAACAGTGTAGTGTGTGTGTGTGTGTGTGTGTGTGTGTGTATATATATATATATATATATATATATATACCATCAGTCTTACAATTAGAAGAGTTCCCTAAGCCGTATGCCCGTATATTTTTTAATGAAACAGTAAGTGTGTATATATATACCATCAGTCTTACAATTAGAAGAGTTCCCTAAGCCGTATTCCCGTATATTTTTTAATGAAACAGTAAAGGTGTATATATACCATCAGTCTTACAATTAGAAGAGTTCCCTAAGCCGTATTCCCGTATATTTTGAATGAATCGGGTGGGTATACGCATGTCGCTCAAAATTAAAGTTTGGTATAGGATGTATATCCTCGACTAACCCACTGGACGTACGTTATTATACCTGATTTCTAGATACATAAACGTTGCCTATATGACTATTTGACACTTTTTTGACTAAGGTTTTAATTACGTTAGTGATTAAATAGTCTGTTTGTTTTTTTCCTAACCGCAAAGCTGCACAATAGGCCACATGCGGAGTGCTCATCGTAGGAATCGAACCAAAATTTTAGCGTTAGGAACCTCTACTTTAACGATGAGCTGTTGTCATATAGTGATTTTTTTTCTTCTGTCATTCTGCTTGGTAATATGTAGAAGCCACGACATTTCCTTTACTTTCCTCAAATACTACCCGGAGATGACACTGTCATCGCTTCGACTGTCTGCGCAACAGCCGTCTAGAAACTTGATTTATGGAAGAGTATGTTATAAGGTAATATGTAATCTCCACAAGGACAAGATTCATTGTAAATGTTCAAGACGTACATAATGCTTTCTTATGGTGTAGCTTATCTAAAGCTAGAAAATTTGTCATCTTACGAAATTTAATGTTTTAAAAGAAAAAGCTTAGTTTTTTTTTATAAGACTGAAAACAGCATTGTAATGGTTACTGTGGTAACAGGAAAACTCGTTTTTAACAGAAAGATAGCTCGTGAACACTTTCTTCAACAGAATGGTAGCTCGTGAACACTTTTTTTTCAACAGAGTTGTATAGTAAATTCTAAAAATGAATTAAAGCCAGAAAATAATTCAACAAACCTGTACCTGTAAAACACATTCTTCACGAGAACTGTACTTGCACAGCACATTCTTAGAGCGGGCTGTAGCTGGAAAGCACATTATTTACCAGAACTGTTTTGGAGAGCACGCTCTCAGAGCGGGCTGTAGAGCTGGAAAGCACATTATTTACCAGAATTGTACTTGGAGAGCACGCTCTAAGAGCGGGCTGTAGAGCTGGAAAGCACATTATTTACCAGAATTGTACTTGGAGAGCACGCTCTAAGAGCGGGCTGTAGAGCTGGAAAGCACATTATTTACCAGAACTGTACTTGGAGAGCACATTCTTAGAGGCTGTACCTGTAAAATACATTCTTCACTAGAACTGTAACAAAAAAAACAAAAAAAACTTCAACACAAAAAATATAATTTAGCTTCTACTTTTCTTTACTTCAAAAGATCCTTGTTTCTGAAACGCTCTAATAATGTTGAGTTTACCAAGTTTGGTAACGCTATACGTGCTCATTTTTAAGTTATTACCGAGACATACAAACAAACTGACAGGCGATGCATGACGTCCTACCCACGTTAGTGAAAAACAGCGATCATATAAATCACTAAGCCGATAGAGATGGCTGTGGTTTCATCGTCAAGGCGAGATCGGGTTTGATATACTCTGAATGACTCTTGTAAACAAAGTCACGTTGTAATCATTGTCGTAAAATATACATGCAGTAAATCGATATTATTTACCTTTGATCAACCTATTTTTGTTTAGTATATCCTTCATAGTAATACAAATATAAAGAAGTTTCTTTTAAATGAAAGTGAGAAAGAGAAAAGCGATCTTTTGATGATATTTTTTTTAATTGTTATTAGTTGTTGTTTTCGTAGTGCAGAGCTACAGAATTGGAGAATCGTATTACGGATTTTAGCGTTGTAAGTCCGCATATCAGCTAAACGACCAGGTCATAGATCCTAGGGATCAGGTATATCCGACCTTAACTTTGAACCACTTACTAAAAGGCAG